TACATTGTGGAATGTAATGTACATTGTGGAATGTAATGTTCTCCGCTTGGGAATCCCTGCAGGTGGCTGATCACAAGTGTGGTCATGGCGATCATCCTGTATGCTGCAACAGTGTGGGCGCCGGCACTAAGGATACCAGCTTACGGTCGAAGCAGCAAGGCTGCATACAGCTGGTGCGCGCTAAGATGTCTCAGCTCCTACCGTACCGTCTCCGAAGATGCATCACTGGTGCTGGCCGGAATGATCCCGCTAGATCTTCTGGCAATGGAGACAAGGAGCAGCAGCCCCCAAACTACAAGGCGTGCGGAAACTATGGTAGGCGAGGTGATGAGCTTCTCCCAATAGGAAGCTAAACACGATCGCAGATCCCGGACATTCGGCTTTTAATGCTTCTCCCTCAAAAAAACAATACACACAAGCACGTTAGCCTAGACAGCGCCTTACCCGTGCGCTTAGCAAACTCCACTCTCGATTGCTTGCACAAAAAACTGACGCTACAAATCACAGTTTATGCACAAGTCTCGCTACAGTTTACGTTCAATAAAACCAAGAAAGCAGACCTTTATGGAGAAGTCCAACAACGCCTGATTCGAGAAATCGATGTTATCCATGTCGGCAAATCAATGCTATGCAAGTCGGTGCGTTTTCACAACGCTTTGCAATTTATCTGCCAAAGTTCACCTGTAACAACCCAAACTTATGGTTTGCTCAAGTAAAACGATCGTTCTTATATATGGCAATATCAACGGCGATGACCAGTTCGATTATATCACCGACAATTTTAGTTCTGACGTTATCATGGTCGTAGAGGATTTCTAAACTTATCCTCCATCTACAAATAAATACCAAGCCTTAAAAAAAACGTTTGCTGGAGAAATTTGCAGAATCCCCGGAATTCAAACTGCGTCGTTTGCTTCAAGGTGGGGAAACGTCTGACCTGAAACCTTCCGAGATATTAGCCCACTTCCAACGGCTTGCTCCGGATTTAAGCAGCGAACATGAGTTGGACAAACTTGCCAAAATAGCAGATAAAATGCTTGACACAGTTAAAGCAACTGCTGTGTTTGCTATCGGTCCCGACTCGCAGCCCGTTATTGTAAATGCTGTTGCTTCCACGGACACCCTTAAGAACGTTGCTCACTCTTGCAAAAATTCTAGTACATTCAAAAGGATGCCAAACGTCTGCAATCCGTTAACCATTCTCGCAGCAATTCGAAAGATCAAGTAAGCCAGCAGACACGCAGCCAAGCAACTGACCAATCACGGCAAGCTAGCAAGATAAATGATGTTACTATCACCATCGCTATGGCGATGACATTTTTCATGGGAAAAGTTTTGTTTATTACTCCATTGACGACATATTAATCGTGTCCAATTCAATTGCAGAGCCTAAGCAACATCGCAGCGTCCTATAGGCTCTGCGCGAAGACGGCCATTCCATTCATCTGAACAAATGACAACTTGCGCAATCAGAAGTTCAGTTTCTCAGCTACGTTGTCAACGAACACGGAATCAAACCGGCTACAAGCCGAATTCACGCTATCCTCAACTACGCTCTACGATCATCAAATACTATCTTAAATGGCTGCCACATTCCTCGCACACTCAGAAGCGCTTGTCTGAGCTGCTAAAAGATGTAAAAAAAAACGACCAACGAAAGATTGAATGGACAACGCAACTCGTAGCTGCTATCGATGCCTGTAAGCGCAGTGTGGCTGGCGCAGCGATCTTGTCACATTTCTCTCCTTATGCAAAATTTGCTCTGTTGTGTGATGCGTCTGATGTTGCTATTAAAGCCGTACTAGAGCAACAAGTGAATAGCAGCTGACAGCCACTTGTTTTTTTATCTTAAAAACTAAGCAACGCAGAAAAAGCTACAGCATATAAGATCGAGAGCTACTGTCAGTATTTGAAGCCATCAAATATTTTTAAAAATGGCACGAACTACGAATGTTTATTATCACGGCCGTACTCCAGAAAGTTCGCTAAAAGACAATTTTGATATATTCTGCGATGTTTCCACAGGATACGTGCGTTCGTATGTATCAAAAGCTCTGCGACAGCAATTATTCTCTTTCATACATAATCTTTCGCACCCGAGTGGCAGTGCAACTCTGCATCAATTTCGGCACAAGTTTGTCTGGCCAGCCATAAACAAAGTCATTGTTAGCTGGAGTAGGGACTGTTTGCCATGCAAATCTGTTTGCCACGCTGGCCAGAAGCAGTTCCGCTTACGAATATCACTGTTGAATCGATTGCATGAGTTTTTTGGTCACAATTGATACTGCGTTTTAGGGCACCTAAAACCATAACCACGGGTTAAGGCGCTCAATTCAAATCCTCTATGTTCAAGGAACTAGCTCAGCTAGTCGGTAGCGAGCACATCCATACCACTGGCTATCATCCAAAAAAAACGAACTTCTAGAGGGGTGGCACCGATCTTTGAAAGCAGCCCTGATGTGCCACTCGGACACTCCATGGACTCAACTTCTGCCAGTCGTGCTTTTAGGACTCCACACGTGCGATAAGGAATACTTAAATTCGTCAGTTGCTCGAATGTTGTATGGCATACCACTTCGTTTACCAAATTGATATTTTTATAACTCCTTTCTCATTACAGGGTGTATAAAGGCCTGTATACGAGCCCTCATAAAGTCGTAGTTTCAGTTCCAGTGGGTCCACTAAAAACTGCATTTATGGCCAACGAGGACATCCAAGGGGGACTTGCACCGCAGCGCACCGTGGACCTATGAAAAGCATTTCCGTGATTGGTTTCCACATCGTAAATGTAGCTTGCGCCATCGATCGGCGGCGCAAGTTAGGAAAAAGTGGAAATGGAGAGAGTGGTTTTTATTATGATAATTAATTGGAAATGGCGTATGTTCCACTATCCCTGTTAAAAGTTTTCGTTTACCGGAACCTAGCTACAAGCACCCTCTTTGTAGTCTGCTCGTCTGTGAAGACTTTACGGCAACAAAAGTGCAAATGCCAGGATATCGGACACCAATTATTGTAAAACTAAGTACAAAAAAATCATGTCCTTTTAAGAACAGCAAGGAAAAATATTTAACTAGTTTAAATTTAAAAACGATTACAAATTAAAAGAAGTTGAAAACGAGAAGACTTCGAAATTGTTTTAAATATTTTTGCTTTTGGTTACATTTGCCGTTTTCATTACCTTAGTAAGGTTTTGGACCGTTTATAATTAATAGCTTCGCAGTTCATTAATGGGGTAGTCCGATTTTTGAATCTATGTCGCTTGTCTGCAGCTTTTACAGAGATTTCTATCTTCCCAATAAACAACTATTATAAGGGTCTTATCGTATGTTATCGCATCGACTTTTAACAGCTTATCTCAATATAAAACTCCTTTATAAGCAAACAGAATAAAAATTACATCCATTTCTTTGCTTCGTTTAAGGAGCAACGTCTTCTGCAGATGCAAACCACCGCCTAATCCATTCTATGTAAAAAATCCAATACGCGTAGCTGTACGGCTCCTAATTTTCCTGCTTACTCAAGTGCATGTTAATTGAAAGCCTCTATCCGTTTGTGGCCACTGTTTCCTCTAGCTATAAAAGTAGTGGGCCTCCTGGTTGAGCCATGAGTTTTGGGCAATTTGGTCCTTTTCGGGCCGTCTTTTGCCACTTATTGAGCTGATGGGACACAACGCCAACTGTTTAAATCTGACTCTTCCCAAAACTCTTTGATGTGAGGCGTTCCGAATTGCTCAAACTTTTCACCACCAGATCGGATCCAATGCATATAATTTGAATCTGTCTAATGACTATGGTTGCTTATCGAAATTTCGGATACATTTGGCCAGTCTCAAACCAGCTGCCATGCTGCAATGTACTTGGCCATCAAGCTGAAAACACAGCTGCAGATATTTAATAGCTGAGGCGTGGTGCTGTCGGCCACAACAGGGCGACCATATACAGCCCATCCTAGTCTGCAACGCGCTGTGATGACGTCTTCGTTTTTTCCTTCCCGTATCTGCAGTGTACAATTATTTTTATGATGTCCAAACCAATGATAATATGAGCCCACAGACATAGACTCTGGCTCGTTCTTAGTCATGCCGCCTATCTATTTAAGACACAGTTGGGTTGCATGTCCGTCTAGTTGGCTCGTTTGCCAGCTCTCTTTCCAAGTAAACACTTTTTTATACCCTGAACCCATTAAAAATGGGTAAAAATGGTATAATGTATTTGTGCAAATGTATGTAACAGGCAGAAGAAAGCATCTCCGACCCCATAAAGTATATATATTCTTGATCAGCATCAATAGCCGAGTCGATCTAGCCATGTCCGTCTGTCTGTCTGTCTGTCTGTCCGTCTGTCCGTCTGTCCGTATGTATGAACGCAAGGATCTCAGAACCTGTAAGAGCTAGAGACTTGAAATTTTAGTTGTAGGTTCTCCTAGTCCTTATCGATAAAAATCGAAATCGAAATTTTTTTTGTGAGCAATTTCGGTAAATAATATGAGCTAGAGTCACCAAACTTGACATGTAGCTTCTAGAATAGTATATATATATCAAGTATTTTTCATTTAATACCTATCGCCTGTGGGAAGAAGAGGGTTCAGATTATCCCATAGTCGGGAGCTCCCGACTAGAACCTCTTACTTCTTTGATATACTATAGAGTGTGTTTGGAACATATCAAAACAGTGTCTTAGTTGCGTACCTGCCATGAAACATGACAGCAGACTCGATTGAGTTAGCTCGATTGTTGCTAACATGGTCCGTGTACTCTTATTTACTATCGCTAATAGTATGCATATATAGCAGCACATGGTGCGCTGACTAGCAACCATCGCAGCATTTCTGCGTTAATTTAGCTTCGCTCGATTGTTGTGAGTTCTTAACTTGATTGCTTTGCAGAAATCTCCGCCGTAGCAGAGAATATTTCAGATACTCTGAGATCTTTAATATTTTTCTATTATTTAATAAAGTATCTTAATAAATTTATGAGACTCACATTTGTGCTCTGCACGCGCTTCTGTTCTATTTAACCTTTATTTTCTGTTCAGTACAAAGCATGCCCCGGTAGTCATCGAGCCCTTCGAAGCCCGTACAGCGCGCCGATCGTGTAGAAAAGAAAAAGACGGGGGAATGGCGAATATGCACCGACTATAGGCAGCTCAACGCACATTCGATCCCGGACGCATACCCCGTATCCCGGATAAACCACATCTTACATTTCGACACTGGATCTAAGGCAGGGATATTGGCAGATACTTATGGAGGAAGGGAGTAAACAATAAATAGCGTTTACGGTCCCAGATCGCGGTATATACCAGTGGAATGTGATGCCCTTCGAATTGCACTCTGAGGCTGACGGCCCGTCGAATTGTAAAGAGCTGCGGCAGTGCTTGGGAATGGCCTTGTGGTATCGACGCTTCGTGCCCAATTTCCCGTCAGAAGTGCAGACAATGACCGCTCTCCTGAAGAGGGGGAAGGCATTGTCGTGGGGTGTGAAGCAGCAGGCCGCCTTGGAACAATTTATGGTGCGATTCACGACAGCGCCGATCCTCGCCTGCCCTGATTTCAGCAAGAAATTCATGGCGCAGACGGACGTGAGCGTTATCAACTTTTCGGCCACGGGAAAGGAGTGTCTGGCTATATAATGGTCAATCCGCCAGTTGAGGTACTATTTGAAGGGACGACGTTATCACCGACCACATGGCAAACAAATGTCTCAATTCGATAGGGAGTCCATATGGAAGGATCGTTCGATGGGCCCTTGAGTTTCAGAGGTTCCAGTTTGAAGTGCAGTACCGGCGAGGGAAGCTGAACGTGGTAGCAGGTGCCCTATCCAGGCAGCCATTAGAGTCATGCTGTCAGGCTGTCGAAAAGCAGCTAGCCTGCGGATGGACCGCATGCATGCGGCAAAAGGTTACTGAGGAGCCTGAGAAGAACTCAGACTTCGCGGTCGACAGAGAATCCTGCAGGAGTGTCACAATGCCCCTACGGTGGGCAAAGGTTGAAATATTGAATTTTCATAGTTATTTTACTATTGTTATTATTATAAAGTTGAGCAAACGAAATGAATATAGAAAATCGAATATAATTTAAGTTTAATCATAAGCTGCTCTGACTCCTAAAATGTTAACAGGAGAAGCAGATGAGCGAATAGGCTAGAGAGAGAGTTTTCGTTGCGAAAAGCGCGAAAAACGGTCAGCAGCTTCACTTTGGATACGACAAGCGTGCGAACCGCACGTGCGGACGAATAGATTAGAAAAGAAAAGGGAAGGGCCGCGAGGTTAGGAAGAGTTTGAATCAAGAATTGACGGTGCAGCAGGGCCGAATCAAGACTATTTATTTTCAGATCTCTTACTCTGCGGCGGAGCGACCCCAGCAGCACCCATCACGCTGACCAACTCCAACCTACACCGCGGCGGAGCGATTCCAGCGGTTCCTCCCTTCTCCATAAAACTAATTACTCTATGGCGGAGCGGTCCCAAAAGCTCCCCACCCTGCTTTCAGCATCGCGTCTCGGCAGTCTATAAATTTCTTGTAGAGTGGACCCGGACAGACTGAGTTCTACGATCCAGGCTCCAAACACTACATTACAGTGTTTAAGAAGACGTGTAATTATATTGGCAGGCCATGTGGCTGCCAGCGCAAAGCCTAAGAATTTCTGTACAAGCGTTCACACATACACAGACAAGTATGAGCACAAATATAATTGCAATTGGGAATGTGCTACTATTGTAAATAAAAATTCAGGGTATCCTCTGGTCGGAAACTCCCGACTATAGCACTCCTGCTTGTGTTAAAATGTAGTTTCATTTGAAATATATTTTATTACATTATTACAAATATATATTATGACATTTAATAATAGGCGTATACATATTTCAATACCCTTAACCCATTATAAATGAGAAACGAGAAAAAAGGTAACCTTCGGCACGCCGAAGATTAAATACCCTTGTTTTTCTGTTTTGCAGATATTGGAAAACAGTTAAGCTCATAAATGCTGAATTTGATGAAAAAGTCTTGGAATAAAGAATATTTGCCATACAATCTACTTTTCGATCAATCATTCCTATGGTAGCTATATGATATATCGGTGCAATATTGATGAGATTTTGCGGGGCGAAGTTAAACTTATAAATGCCTATCTAGCTGAACAAATGCCTATCTAGCTGCTGTGGCATCTATATTATATAGTGGCCCAACAAGGGTATTTAAAAACAGATGCAAAAGTTTCCTCGGTAGGGTTCGAACTAGTAACTGACCACGCTACTTTCCGACGCCTCTACTCAATAGCCACACCAATAATTAAGTCTTATTGAGAAAAAACTAATTAAAATAGCAGCACAGAAAACAATACAATCGCAAGTGCAATGATGTTGATAGAATTCAAAGAAGACTCTCAGGAATGTGTGTGTGTACATGTAAACAGAAATTCTTGGAAGTTGCGCTAGCTGCTGCTAACACGTGCGCACATAACCTTTGTGGTTCATAACCGATCTTAATGAAATTTTCGACAGTACGTCTTATTGTGCCATAGAATATTTGTGTATTCCTAAAAGTCAATTGCATATAAATTATGGCTTAAATTGATGGGCTTTACAAGTTGGATTATTAACTTGATTTCTAGTTTTGTGGTGGCAGCGAGGAGGTGGCAATGGGTATAAAATTATAGATACTTGATATACATATACTATTCGAGAAACTACATGTCAAGTTTGGTGATTAAGCTCATATTATTTACCAAAATTGCTTAAAAAACATAATTTCGATATCGATTTTTTCCGATTACCTTTAAACGGGACAAGTTATTGAATATCGGAAACAAACTCGATCTGCGCGGGCACTAGGAGGACCTACAGTCGAAATTTAAATAATAAATAGATCGAACAGATAACCGCGTTCTTTCCTAAATTCCGAGTCGACCATATAGTTCCTACTGTACAACCTACAACCACATTCATGTTGCCAACTGGCCTAGCAACTGTCGAATGATCATTAAAACGACAATTCCTTAATAATTATACGCGTTCAGCAAGTCGGATATATTGATATAACGCACCCTCCCCTCTTCACCATCAGCAAAGTTTACCTGACATGATTCTTTGTATCAGTTGTGAATAATTGGTTGCATTAATTAAGACTATTACAATAATACTAATTTGTAAAGTTTCATCTATTTACAGAATACATTTCATCAAATTTTTTGCACGAATGGAAACAAGCGGAGAAACTTGTCAAGTGATGTTATTGCCGCAGGAGCAGTCATTAAAGTTACGAGTGAGTTGTGTGCACCAATAGGGAACAGGATACCCACACAAATGAGCATATAGCAGTGTATGCTAAAAAACACTCGCTCGCTAAAAAACACACACTAAACACTCGTGCAGCAGGTAATTAGGTTCAAAATCTCTTAATCTACCTTACCCTGCCTAAAGAGCTCTGTGGGGGCCGGTAAGGGCCGATAGAAACGTGTATTTTAAAGGATGTGTGAATTGTTCGTGTAGGTAACCAAATTTTAAGATTTTATATTTACTGGACACATGCAATAACTTTTAGGTCTTTCTCTCGCTGTTCGCATGCAACTTTTCATCTTTAAATGGAACTATATGTATATTGTATAAATAGTAAATGATTAAAATTAAATATCATTAAGTGATCCTGGCACCTTAGGAAGCCACGCGGAGGACGACAGGCTGGATTACCAAACTCACAAGCCCGTCAGCCGTGGCCCTGCTAACCCGTCGACGACTCCCGGCGCCGACTCCGTCGACCAGGAGGCGAATGGCAATGGGCGAGACAACGTCTACATCAACTAAGTGAGTCCGTTTCACAAAGCCCATAGTAACCCCGAGCAACAAGCAGAGGCTGAAGTAGCTTCTTACTCGCCTACACTCTCCCACGTAATTTTTTGCCCAAGGCAGTGGATCAATCTTATCCTGATTCAAACGTACATGTTCGAGCAACGCCTGATATTCCGCTATCTCAAATTCTAGTAGACTTTCTGGATCCTTGCCCACTGCTTCGACAAAGTCGTAGTCTTGCAGATGCAATGACCAACGAACTATTCTCCCGCCGAAGTCCATCATGGACATCAGACATATTAAGCTGGCGTGGTCACTGATGCATGTAAATGGCATCCCTTTTATGTACGGTCTGAACTTCTTTATTGCCAGTATCGGCGCTAAGCACTCCTTTTTAGTGACGGAATAGTTCCGTTTGTGTTTATTCAAGTTGGCTGAAAATAGGGCTATAGGTCGTTCCTGATCATCGGTGTCCTTTTGGAACAACACCGCTACCACGCCTAACTGAGACGCATCGCATAGCACAAAGAAGGGCTTGGAAAAGTACTAATGCTTGAGCACAGGGGCCGTTGTAAGTGCTGTCTTCAACTGTTTAGCGGCGAGTGTTGCCTAGTCCCTCGTCACAAACTTGCCGTTATCCTTCTTTAGCATTTCAGTCAGTGGTGTGACCATGGTCGTAAAATCTCGCATAAAGTTCGGTACCAACCTGATGTACCCAAAAATGTGCGGACTTCCTTGCGCGGACGAGGTACTGGGATTCGCTTGATAGCGGTCCATGCGAAGCGTGCTAACGCCAATAATAAAACTGAGATATTTGATGCCTTGAAGTAAAATTTGGCTTTGTGCAGTCCGATTGAGAGCTTCGCTTCTAATAAGTAAGCAGGTATCTTAAATGCGTTTGGAAATCTGGGCAGTAGATCGCCCAAAAAAACAAAGTCGTTGGACCGTAAGTCAGTGGGCATTACTTTGTCCATCAGACGAACTAGACGTTGGGCTGCATAGAAGGGCCGGACTAGTACGGTTAATACATTATAGGGATTGCTTTTATCGTCTAATTCGATTTGCCAATTCTCAAACTTCAGATATACACTGAAGATGTAGTAGGTCTGCTCTGTCCTGGATAAGATGCCTTCTATACAGGGTAGCGGATACGCGTCTTTCACTGTCAAATTGTTGAGCTTGCGTGCATCGAGACAAAAACAGTCTTCGCACTACTGTTGTGTGGTTACTTCATGTACTGTTGTATTCTTCTATTACCTCCAAGCTCAACACTTCTTCAACCACTACTTTCTGCATCGCTGGCGATTACAAGTAGGGTCAATCTTTGAACGGTTGACACCTTCTACTAAGTCGATAGTGTGCTTCTCTAAGTCCGTCGTTCCTAATCCACTACGCTCAAAGGACAAAAACTCCCGCTTGACCGCATCTCACTCTCTATAGTAATCGGCCAAAAGTTCTTCCACTTGGCGTTCCTCGGAGATTAGCTAGGTTAAAAGCTCGCCAGAAATCAATCCCAAAATAGGCTAACTGTTCCAGGTAAGGGCAGATAAAAACGTTAAATTTTTATGCTGTCCCCCGTACGAGGTTGGAAGCTCTACACGACCTATAATCCTCTTCTGCAGCGGTTTTGACTATAGAAACGTAAGATTGCTCCTTAACCCCTAGTTCCTCGACCAACTCTTCACTTCCTTTTCCCAGCAGACTTTTGCTCGCTTCCATGTTTAAGAAACCTCTTATGCAATGTATACCCATGAATACCTCGGTAAATACAAGGAAGTGAGTGTTTTTGCCCAGCCCTAAATATATTTTTTCTTATTTCTAAGTATTTTCTCCACCTAATTAATGCCCTTATTCCTAAAAACTCGGCTATTCCTTCTTCTGAGCCTCTATATGTATATGGCTACATTTTCTCTGAGACCGATCTTTTTTTACTATTTTTACCATATGTCTTTCAGATAAGGCTTCTGTAACCGAAGAGCTAGTAGTCGCATGGCGTGGATGTAATCGTTGTCCCATCTTTAAGCTTTAGCTTGCTCTGTAACAGTTCATGCATCCGGTCATGCTCAGACCACGAACCACGAAACCTATCCATCATCGCCCTTTTCAGAACTGACCAACTATCGACTCTTAATTATCCCACATGCAGCCAATACCAATCCCTAGCCTTGTCAGTCAAGAGCGTGCGAAAGCTTCGTAGAATTGCACTCCGTGGGCATTGATATTGGTGCTGAAGGAACTCTATCCGGAACACGAAATCTTCGGCTGAACTATGAA